CCTTCCTTCTTTCCCACTCTCCTCCAGCCCGTCTCTTTTGAGCTCCCTTTCGGGGGGCTCAGTTGTGTCTCGTGCACCTTCTCCTCCACCGGAGCTGGGGGGGTCCATGTGTTCGAGGGGCGCGAGCCCCTGTCCGGTTCACCAGTTCTGTCTCTTATACACATCTAGATGTGTATAAGAGATTGGTTTTTCGCAGCCCCGGTGTGTCAACAGTTTGCATGTCAGGGTCTTGCTATTGATGGTGCCTGTATGTGTTTTGTTCATTTGTGCAGCCCCCACCGCCTCCAAAGAAGAAGAAGATTGTAGTTGCTCCGAAGTCAAGCAAGGTGAAAGCCAGGGCGTGAAGACCAGAAGAGCAGTTTGAAGGTCGGGGGCCTCTGCAAGAGGCTAAACTAGTATAGGAGAACCTATATGGATCGAGATCGGTCTACCGGGGGAAAGACGATAGTATTTCTGTTGAGAGCCCATAGCTTGCTCCTCAGGTTTAGGTGAGCAAGTGGCGGCGATCTAGGGGAGACGGGTGGGGTGGGGAGAGGAATTCAGGGCAGCTGGGTACTGTAAGGTGGAAAAACAGTGCCCGATGTGGTTGTGTGGCCCAATGATTTATGCCTTTTGGAGATGGGAGGTGGCACTTCACCACTGGTAGGGCCCGCCTCGTGTATCATGTCTTGTTGTAACTTGGTAGTGAGCGATAATGAGAGGCAGAAGGAAATAAGTTATGGGAAAGAATGTGCAGATGATGAACGGTTATGCTCAGGGAGGTGCACAAAGGTAGCAAAGGGAATTTACCACCGAGGTGTCTCGGTTCGTTGCATAAGAGAGTCTTCTCTTGTGTGTGTGTATGTGTGCTGTTTATGGGGACTTTTATCCTACCCCTCTCTGTGTTAGGCACAGGGTGGCTATTCATCGAAGGGGGTGGCATGTGGTAGTATGCGGCTATTTACAGTGGCAGGGTGGCAATTAATAGCAGGCTAGGTTAGCTATGAAAATGGAGAAGGGCGGCTCGACGGGTATGGGGTACGATTGCCAGGTTCTAGGCTCACTGGGAGGTTTGGCAAGTACCATTGGCTTCTTGGTCATGCAGAGGGGGTTATGTTGATTAGGTAAGAGTGTAAAAGTGTGAAAGCTTGGGAGGCCGTATTCGAGGCTGCTGCTTAGTACAAGGGGTAGCTTCGACAATCGGCTTCGTGGTCATGGGGGTATAGCTGATGTGGGGTTTTGAGGGTGGCGGTCGTAAGGTCACCTAGTCTTTAAAGTGTGCGACCGAATTTCACACCAGGGCCATATGTGGCTGATCTGTGTTGGTCGGACAACGATCTGACTAAAAGTGCGTCTGCACTGAGTGTTCAGTGAACAGGGAATGAAATAATCCCACAAATGAGGAAAGGTTGGATAGCACACCCCGAAGTCGCGTGTTAGGTTTTGAGGATGCAGCAATTTGCGGTAGCCTACCTTATATGGGACGCTGGACCCGTTTTCCAGCAGGTGATGCTCCCCACCAATAGATGGAGCCACTCTTCAAAAAAAAAAAAAAAGCCTTGGGTGTGTGACCCTAGTTAAAAAAAAAAAAAAAAAAAAAAAAAGCATTACCCTCCCTTATCTGGGAAATCTGTCAGCTTATTAGACACAACAGTTTTTGTAGGCTAGGCTATGTTCGACCTTCTCGTCATGTGTCGCGTTGCTTACCGCCGTGGCCCGCTGCATTGGCTTTCCTCCTCCCAAGGTCAGATGATCCTGTATGATCCTGATTACGGGCCGGGGACGATTCCCCCGTCTTTCGCAAAGTTATCATCGTCAAGCAATGCCTACTCACTTCATTTATGTTTGTTTCCGTATGGCGTACACCTTACTGCGTCATCTTGGCCACTTTAATGTCAAGAGGTTTAATAGCAGCAGCTCCACCACCATCATCTATGTCTGCTGACTTTGTTTCTTCTTCTTCTTCTTTTTGTCCTTTTTTTTCTTTTTTTTATATATATGACTGTGTTGCTGAGTGCAAAAGTGGTGGAGCAACTTTGTTCCTCACTCCACTAAACTCTCGACATGTGCACAAGACGAAAATCATGGCGATGTATGTTTTCAGGTTCCAGCAGAAGATCCACTCTCTTGTCTTGGCTCATTTCTCGAGTACTGCCGCGAGGGGCCCCCTTCGTTTTAACTGAACAGCTTTGTTTTGACTGCTGGGTTGTGCACATAAGTGCTCTTTTTTAACTTCGACAACTTCAATCGTGCAATGTAATTATCAAAAAAATGAGCTCTCATAGCAGGAGGGCCAGGAGTCCAGATTCTCTTTGTCCCGTGTTTCCTTTGTACCGTCCCTCCAAATTCCCCTCCGCAGCCCACGCCTCTGCATTAAATTGAGCAGAGACGAAAGAGAGTTGAAAAATGTTTCCTCTCTTGAGAGTGTTTGTTTCAATAATCATCAAATAATATAAATAATAAATATGCATTTGACAACTAATTGTTTTGTCGGTTTCGGTGTCATCTTATGTCGTTTTTTTTTATCAAAATCAATGTGGAAAAGAAGTCACCCATCTGCCTTCTGTTCTGTGTGCATGACATTCACACTTGTTTGTAGGCAAGCCCAAATTTTAATTTCAGTACCTTCAGGTTTTTAGGCTGTTAAACCAGTAGTACCTTTGGCACGTGGGAAAATAGTGGGCCTCCGGTGGGCCTCCAACCTTTTTGGAGGCCGAAATGAAACGATGGCCGCCGATCAGATTTATCAATGGCAGCCGTCGTTGGGCCCGGCCTCCGAAATGGATGTTCGGAAAGCTTCCACTTTTCCCTATTTTCCCATGCGCCAAAGGTACTAGTGCTTTAATGTGGTGCCTGAATCGGTGCGTCGCGCGGATCCATCCCAGAGGGGACCTAAGACCCCCTGGGGTTCTGGAGGTTTAAACCACCACGCTAGCCGATGTTGGAAAGTGGGGGGGGACCGGTAGCACAGGTTCATGAGGCTACAACCTACCGGTAGCATAGTGTGGAGAACCGGCACAGCGGCGACAATGGAAAATGCGATGAATTGCCACCATGGCCTATTGTTTTCGTGGTTGAAAACTTTTTTTTTTTTTTTAATCTTTTTTCTGCAAAGATCACAACCATATCTACCGACCCTCCAATTTTTGGAATTTTGTACATATTCTTCTGAGCATTAAAAATCGCTGAAATTGGGGTACTTTTCCCTCCATGAGTTGTAGAGTGGCAAAAAACGTCATGAATTGGCGCGGCAATTGTTTCATGAGCTAAATGATTTTTTTTCATTTTTCTGATATTATTCCTGGAAAGATCACGACCTAATCTACAGGATGTCAGGATCTCAAATTTTCGATTTTCTTTCTTATTTTTTCTGAAAGCAAAAAATCGCTGAAATTGGCATGTGAAATTTGCAGGACTGGACCTGCCTGCGCCTGCCGGTAGGCGCCCCCCCTAGAGACCCGGTCCGAACTCTCACCGGAATGCCACTTCTCGGCGTCGGGTCGAGTGGTGATTGAAGTACCGCTTTCTCTGATGGAGACTGTAATCCTTATTAGTATGCGAACATGCATCCCCAGACTGCAAATTCCGGGCTGTTCTTTTGCCAACGTATAGTATATATGCTCATGCATACTAAGAGAAATTGGTGATCGTTGCCCCCATTAATACCCTCAAAGTGAAAGGGTTAATATCCACAAGGTGAAAGGGTTCCCATTGATACCCTCAACTTGAAGCTGAAAGGGTGCCCCCATTAAAACCCTCTTGGTTCTAGAGGAGGGCATTTGTCTTTCCCAGTGCTGAAAACCAGGCCACAGGTGGCTGCTGGTCCCTTCCCCCCCCTTCCCTTCCCCCCTTCCCCCCTCCCGTCCCCAAACACGCACACAGACATGCATGCATAATATGCATGTGTGTGCACATGTGGGTGACCCTTGCTTCATCAAAGTGAAGTGATATGGGGTTCTGTGCTGTGCTGTGCGTGGCGACGCGTTAACGGCCGCGACTTTTTTTAATAGCTGGGCGAGGTACTGGTGGTTTAAGAGTGCCGTGTGACACCATGCAGTTCAGAAAAGAAGGCTGAGTCCGGCTGCTCCTGCTGAGGGCAAAAGTAGGCCTGAGCAGTCCACCTGCATGCCAGTGGCACAAAAATGTTGGCTAAACAAGTGCACATCCATGCAGCACAGGAAAGGAGAGATTCGCCCAATCAGTGGGCCGCTTTCCTGGGGAAAAAAAAAAGTCTGGTCGGCCTCTGGTGGGGCTCTTGTACCACACCCGAACCATTGGGCCTGTGGGCAGGGCCCACTCATATTGTACAAGGATGTGATGGATTACTACCGTTGAGATGACTTGTGCTTTTCTGCTCAACTGCAAGTGGATGTTGTTGAATGGTGGGGGAATCCATGAGTATGCTGGTTGCAATGCATGCTCATTGCTCAGCTAAGTCGGCTTAAACCACCAGTACCCTCACTGTCTTTTTTTTTTTTTTTTTTTTTGCCTTAAGTTAGAGCCCATTGAGTGAGCCCTCCGTTCTGATGGTGGTAAGAGAACCATAAGAATCGAGGGGTCATTTGGCGGGCTGCTCCATCTATCGGTGGGGAGCGGCACCTGCTGGAAACCGGGTCCAGCGTCCCTTGAATACAACACATTCAGCAAAACATTCATGTCAATGGTCACCACCCAGACTCACCAGCACGGTCTTAGGCCGTTAACGCGGTGGCTGAATCAGTGCGCCACACAGGTCCATATGCATTTGCATCAGAGCCTTCCCAGAGGGGGCCTAAGACCCCCTGGGGTACTGGTGGTCTCGACTCGTGGTTGAACATGGTGCCCCTCAATGTTAACCAGTAGGACCTTCAACTTTTCTCCAGGGCTGGGAACGCGCTGCGCGCCCAAAAAAAAACAAACAAAAAAACAGAAAAGCAAAACCGGTGAGGGCCTCCTTATAGCTGGTGCTGCCAGCCATTTTGCTCTGGTGCCTGAGCCCTGAATGCGGCAGCATGCAAACTACAGCTTCGGAAAAATGGCTGGGAAATGTGCTGGCGGGGAAAAACCATCAGTACCCCAGGGGGTCTTAGGCCCCCTCTGGGGAGACTCTGACGCAAATGCACATGGACCCGCACGGCGCACTGATTCAGCCACCGTGTTAACGGCCTGAAAACGTGGAGGTACTGGAGGTTGACATGACAGCGCGTCTTCATTTATTGGGAGTGTAGCAGCTCTCCGATCTCTCCGATCCTTACCCCGTGTCTTGCACCCATGCTCCCTAATCTCTAGCACCTCAGTTCCTGGGTTCTTTATTTATTTATTCAATTTGTTTATGAAGTCCAGGTGGTTGTAGAGAAAGACCACATTTCCAAAGTGGTAATTCACCAGGAATTGCAATGTCGTGCAATTCCAAAAAGAAATGAATGAGCTGGAGAGGAGAGAGAGAGGCCAAAGAAGATTCTGAAGTGATGATGTACACAAGCAAATGACCAATGACAATCCCCTCTTCTCTCGCCAACTAGCTCTTCCTCATCTCACCGTTCTCTTATTCAAATAGTAAATATAATAAATTAATGATATAATAACAATGAATGGCTGGACCGGATTCAATGGCTGAATTGGATTCTCCTGCCAGCACAACATGAGGTCCACCATAGCCATGATCTATCTGCCTCCACCTTCAACAGGTCTGGGCTATGAGGGGCTACTAAGGGCCTCACCCAATGTTCAAAAGACAACGCAGAATTAGCTATGTCCTCTTCTCTTCAGGCCGCTGTCGTACCAAATACCCTTACAAGTTACAAGGGTATTTGGTGTGTATTTTGCAAGTTGCGTCGGTGCAGCCTCAACCGGAGTTGACGGTGCACTCACGGGTGGAAGTTGAGTCCTGCCCGGATGAGCGGGGCGCGCGGTGTGGTGACGGCGAGGGGCAATTCTGCGCAGCTTGGGTGTGTGCGGCGTCGCAGGCCAGGGGGACGCGCGGCCCCTCGCCTTCTTTTATTTTTTGCGTGTCTCCTTTGTTTGCCTTTATTATTATTATTATTTCTATTACTAGTTTTCCCTACTTTTATTATTATTATTGATGCCTTTGGCCCGGTGATCGGTTCCGAGGTCGACGTCGGGACTGACAGGCCGGGCTCAGTTGCTACGTCGCCGGACACAGGGTGCCGACGAAAGGTCCTCCACCCTACCCACGTTGAAATATGGATTGAAGAACGGAGGTGGGAGCGGTGGAGTCCGTGGTCCTGGCTTCCTTTGTTTCCCGTTTGGAGAGTGTCAGTAGCCTAAAGATGGAAGGGAATTGGAGAATATTCCGAGCGGGCCTGTAGGGCTGCAACCCGAGGGTGGCTGATGTGAGTGCACAATCCGCCACCCGCCATCTGCTGTGAGAGGTTCGAGTGTGAGTTTGCCCGTTGGGGCCAGGGAAATGGTGAACAATGCCTGGGCTGGGGCACGCCTGGGCTGGGGCACCGGTGGGAGGCTGCCGTAGTTTTGGCTGTTGTCCCAGCAGCTGTTCCCTTGGGACACGTCCCCACTTCGCCCCAAAGTTCTCATTTGAATATGTGCTACTACCACGAATATATGTACTGGGACCCGCCTCACCTAGGCACAAGTTGTAGGCTCAGCGTCCTTTTTTTTTTTTTTTTTTTTTTTTTTTTTAAAAACACACGCGCTCCATCTATTGGTGGGGAGCAGCACCTGCTGGAAACCGGGTCCAGCGCCCCATAGATACAACCATATCCTCTCAAATTGGCACGAGCTGGGAACCGGGCCCAGCGTCCCTTGAGTACGATCAGAAAAACCATCAGAAAATTTCATGACAAAGAAACTAAGGGTATACTGAGGCTGCTTCAGAGCTTTTTTGTAAGGAACAGTCAGAGATAAACAAAAACCAGAAGAAGACTCGGGAATCCACCAACAGTCCTCCTCACCCCACTCCGGCAAGACTTACTGCAGCAAAGCCACCATCTCTACTGCTGCTATGCCCTATTTCTGTCCTACCAGCTAGCCCCTTCACTAGCAGGATGCGTGATACCATTCTCTCTCGATCCCGGCTCAGCGTCCTCTCACTCGCTGCAGCGTAGGACTCGACAGCTGAG